TTTCCATCCTGAGTCTGCATGGACTTCTGGCTGCATGCCCTTACAGCTAAGGCTAAGTAAGACCAGAAATGAATTAGAGCATGCAGAAGGGCCAGCTCAGCCTCCAAAAAAGTGAGCATATTGCCTATTTGTAATCTCTCTGTGCTGTCATATATGTTTTCTTTGACTCCTCTGAATACCAAGCCACCTTAAAAAGTAAAGTTACATAACCAGAGATGCAATTACTCAACAAAAACTGTATTTACGTTACTTTTATATGATTTGATGCAGGAACAAATCTCTCCAGTGACTTCTCTTCCTCTTTTGGGCACAGATATGGATCGACCAAACTATTAAACACTCAAAAACATCCATACAAGAAAATCCAAAAATCACAATTATGATATACCTAAAATAAAGAGCTAAACCAGAAACACAAAGAGGAAAAAACCCAGGGATTAGGAACTAATTTCAGGTTTTACACAGCTGAATAATTTTACACAGCAGCCACTGCTTTAAGAAGTTAGGCCAGGGAATACTGTCAGCCATGGAGCCAGAGGGATTCTTCTGTCTGCCTTTCCCTTAGGGCGTGGCTCAAAAAGTTCTCAGCAGGATTAGGCTAAAAAGGACACACAGCATGACCATTTTCCCCCCCTACTTCAGTAAACCAACATTTACACATGCTAAATGCAAGGCAACCCCTGAAACCAAGGAAAAGTAGCAAAAATCAAACCAGAAATGTACATCTTTCTAGTACGGTCTGAGCCAACAGGTCAACCAGGCATCTTGTTCAGGACCTTATCATAAGGCACAAAACCTAAAATTCCAAACACAGTGGAGTAGGCTAGCCCTATAATCCTGCCCAGTTTCTCCAAGAATTACGTAGAAAATCACAAATTCACAGCAATATGGCACAGGAAAGACTTGTAACTACTTCCACCAGGAGTCTTCCATACACAACACAGCCATTATTATTTTGTTCTTCCTTCCCCTCTCATTCATTCCACCAGCCAAAATTACACATTTTTTACTACCAAAAAGCATATTACAGCTGCAAAGTCAGTGCTCTGCTATCAGATATCTCATACAGCCTCAGAAACGAGAGAAATCAGAATCCACTCTGGCAAATTCATTAAGGAAGAGCCTTTTGAAAGAACTGGTCTGACAAGCAGGTCTGACAAATGTCTGTTAGCTTACAATAAGAAAGAACCAAGAAGGAAATAGTTCGTAGAAGCAACCTGAATGCCAAGCCTGCCAACTATATATATTAATATATATTAGGTGCTCTCTTTGAGCTCTCCTAAACTAGAAATCATTAGCCAAACATAATGAATAGGTAGTCAGTGCTCAAAACAACTTTTATATATATATATAAAGGTATAAATATACATGTGCACATGCTCATATGTGCATATATAGACACACACTCCTATATAGGGTGTAACTCTATAAAAGCAGTACAAATTCAAAGATGCTCAGACAAGAGGGACTCACCCCATCACAGACAACAAGGAAGAAGAAATCAGTCAAAGTCACATTTGATACAAGATTTCCATGCTGCTAATGCTGGATTGCTTTTGGCAAATACAGGAAGGAAGTTTAAGCAAATGGGAGACATAAAAAGGAGGGCTCATCACAAGGATAAATGAAAAGATAGGCAGCTCACACCATGGAAACTTTAACCAGTTCCACATACAGCCCCTAGAAAAAGCAAAAGGAAAGCTTCAATCTCTACAAACTACCTACAGCTTCAATGCAGCTAAGGAATAGTCTTCCTACCAAGTGTTATTTAGAATTGCTTTTCAATTTGATGCTATTTTCCAGTTTTCTAACCAATAATTCCACACCGCACCTCCCCCCCCTCATTATGCTAGAATAAAGATAGTTTTAAGGTTGCCCAGTGCCTAAAAATGCACAGTGATTAAAATGAACTAAAGCAAATACCAGGCACATGGATTTGAAAGAGTGCCAACCTACCTGGATTTGAAGAAATCCTTTAAGTTTATTAGATTTTTTGGGGTGGGGGGGTGGGGGGAGAAGAAAGAAAACTCTCTGGGCCGAGACACTGGTGTTAAACACAAGGGAAGGAGGGAGAAGTCCAAGGATCAAGGAATACTCCAGGGGGAACAAACAGGCAAGTGATAATAGCAGCATGAAAACCTTTATCCAAGAGAAGGCTTGATATATAGGTATCAAAACTAAGTTAATCAGTGAACTATTTCATTAAAGGGACCAGCAGTATAATAGTTAGCTTTGAAATTTTCTCATCACTGTTAGGCTTGAGTTAACTAACAGTCCACTGCCATTAATCTATGTTTATGCTAAATTCTTCATGAAGACAGACAACAGTTGCATGTCCCACACATCACTAAGCTACTGCATTTTCTGTTATAATATGTTCCTTGGATTTTTACATGACCCTTCCCATCAAACTTGGCTTCAAGAACCACTTATATAAAGCTCTGGTTACCTAGCATCTAAATCTGCAGCTGCTTCACTAAATGTCCCAACAGTTGCATGTCCCACACATCACTAAGCTACTGCATTTTCTGTTATAATATGTTCCTTGGATTTTTACATGACCCTTCCCATCAAACTTGGCTTCAAGAACCACTTATATAAAGCTCTGGGTTACTTTCTATTGAATTTGAAGCTGCTTCACTAAATGTCCTTAGTGCTTACCAGACAGAACGTTACACTTTTCTCTCTTTTCCTCCACTCACCAAATAATCAGTTTCATTATGGGGGTAATATGATGGAAAAGATGTAATTGCTTCACAAACTGACAAAAACATGAAAAGAAACATTATTCTTTCTTTACAGATGAACTTCAGAACACCAACTTGCTGCTCTCTAGAGCTTTTTCCCAAATAGCAGTCAACAAACTCACGCACAGTTATCTTCACATGCTGCCATCTACATGGAAATAGTTGCAAGCCAATTATGTATCATTTTGTACTGAACTGCAAAGAGATGTTGCAAGCTGATAATCAACACCACTGCTGCTGATACTCTGCTGGGTGCACCTTTGACCTAGGAACTGGTTCACATTTGTCCTATTTTCAACAGAGTAGCAGTGGAAATCTCAAAGGCACAGAACAGAGGCATAACAAGAGAAAAGCAGAAAGAAATGTGGAAGAAAACTTCTCACTGAAGCATTAACATTTGCTGGCCATGAATAGGGACTGCATTTTTAAAAACAAAACTAGCCTTGCCAAGAATCAGCCACACGGAGTTGAAACAGTAAAGTGGAAAATCCATTCTCGAGCTCAACATCAAGTTAAAGAATTCCAAAGGAGTTTTACTCAAGTTCCTGTTACACAAAGGCTCCTGGAACAGTGTTCTGAGAAGTTTTAGCACTGCCACCATTTGCATGAGGTTTCTGAAAGTCATTAGATAGGGCAGTTGTCTTCTGCTTGTCTCATGAAACTTTCATAGTTTGAGATTCCTCAAGTTACAGGTTAGTTAAAAAAAAAGCAAATAAAAAACCACCCAAACCAAGCCCTCCTTCACAGTATTTCCTTTCTAGTTCTTATGCTGCTTGAGGAACTTCTGGTTATATGCTAAATGAACACAGAATAGTTTAAAAAACTACACTGCACTACAATTAAACAGCAATGGCCATAGAAGACTGGCAATGCTTGCAATCACCAGGCAAGGGGAAAGGTTGTTAAAAAATAAATAAAACACAATTCTCCTTGATTGCTGCAAAGTGGTTTTGCAAGTTTTCTTGCACAGGCAAGGCACAAGGCCAGGTTCTCCTGCCCTTCCCCCACCAAGCACCTCTCAGAGAGGTAGCAACAGAGCTCCGCCAATTATCTCCTTGTGCATTGCACAAGACTGCAGCAACCTGCCACCACCAGCTTGCCCTGGAGATGGTGAGCTCCTTCTCCAGCTCCAAAGACCATGAAGACTGGGGTGGGGGTTGCTCCAGTTCCGTTGACTCACTTCATGTAAGCAGCTGTGAATAGCCTTCCAGTAGCTATCAGCTCTTGTGTACAGTCCTTTCCAGCATGTGGACATAGGTGTATATATACTTGAAGACAACTAAGGATGTAATCTGCTTTAGAAAATGAAAATCTATAACATTTATATGAACTCTTATGTCATTTATAGAAGTATTGATAACTACATAAAAAAATTCAGAGGCAGTTCTGAAGGTGACCTAGCCTGTTTCCCTACCTCACAGCTTACATTAACTCCCCACATAGGCCAGAATTATTTTTACTTTGTTTTTAATTATTTCATTAATGACCCTGCTTTAAGCATGAGTTTGGACCACATGCCATCTTAAGGTCCATTTCATCCTGAATTCTCTTGTGATTCATAAAATGCTGCTACATATACAGATAAGGAAACTTGACAATAAAACCCAACTTTGTAACACCTTTTTTAAAAACTCAAGGAACATTTATACCCAGACTAAAAGAAAACATAAATGGCAGTCTCTACATCTTGACATTCATTAAAGCCAGCTATTTGCTCCTTCTCCTGGAGTATAAGCATTCTGACAAATGCTACAATCATGCAATCATATGTTATCCTTTCCTCTGGCCTTTGAAACCCATCCTCTATATGGAACATCCTCTATAGGTATACAAGAAGGAAGGGGGACAGAAGCATACAGAGACTATGCCTGGGGAAAGTCATTCAAGTACCTAAACGCTTTATACCTAGAGTGCTTAACACTGAATCCTAGAAAACATATCTGCACATATGGAAAGGTAGTGCTAGAATATGCAAATGCATCCCGACTGTGCTCCACTAAATGAAAAAAGAGGCAGTGTGTACTCAAGTCTGTTACGCATTGTTGTGCTATATTAATAAGCACCACTCCTCATGAACCACACACTTCCACACTGCGGATGATCTGCTCCAACATGATCCGTTGGACACCACTACAGCATTTTTCTCAATGCTATCATGTCTGCTATCTTCACACTCCTGACTCTAGACACTCCAACACTTTAGTTATATATACCCAGTTTACCAGGAAGCACTGTCTTGTTTTTCATTCTTACCTTCTCTCCACTAGAGTAGAAGAAATAACGCAATCGAACAATGTTACAATGATCCAACTTTCTCATAATCTGGAGCTCTCGGTTCTGAAACAAGAGAAACGCAAGCAATTAGGAAAAATTTTCTTACAAAGTTAGAGTACAGTAGTGAACACTGTAATATACAGATACAGGAGCTGATGAAACTAAGGAACCCAAGAGCAACTGAAGTTGGAAGAGGCAACAGCTTTCATGAGTTTATTCCAATTATTTTATCACTGAAAATACTGACATCTTACAGTACATTTTCCCTCCGAAATAAAGGTCCACAAACCAATAATGAAATCCAAGAATTACCTACTTACATTACCAAAGTTTCAGTGGTAAAAGGCAGGAAGACATTAACTTTTCTTTTGTATTTTCTGATCTTACAATAATATGGTATGTCAGCCATAATGGTAGGAAGCCCATCTTGCTTGAATATACCATAAAAATAACAAACAATATAAAAGCAAACATTTCCACCTACATGCCTGCCCTACTCCACACTGCAAAAGAGGTTTGTGCTAGAAGATAATTTCTCTTACCATTATCCTTACAATACAGACACAAAAAGCACAAGAATAGAGTAGGCAATTCAGTTCCCACTTCTGTTCAACCAAGATTTAACCACATTTAGACAGACAGAATTAGAGTTATCCTCCCATTTTATATCAACCTGAAAAAGCTGTTAAAATAAAATCAGTTCATTATGTGCATGATAAACTGAGCACTTTACTGCAGCATCCACTGTAACTGCATCCTAAATAAATGAGGGATCTTACAGCCTAACAGATAAAAAAAGAACAAAATGTTGAATTGTAGGTATGAGTAAAAATAAGCAAGTGAAATTAGCACAGCTATGTTTGTTATACTTCATTCCATAACTATCACTACAATACTCCTTTCTCCTATGGTGACATTTACACATCCCTGTTTTTCCTTCCTCAACTACTACACAACCTGCAGCTTCAAAAACAGAAAGTATTCCAATTTTTTCTTTAATCACGGGGTTGATAATTATGCAACTTAGCTAGCTAGGGCTAATACACTAGAATAATACACTGGATTCTACTAGAACCATTAAGTCTGGCCAACTTGAGGAATATATCTGGGAAGAAAACTTTAGACACCGCACATTTTCATACTGAAATGCACAATGGTAACGTACTTTGTGCAGTGCTGGTACTGAAATAAGGATTTGATTTTCTATGGATCAGAGGGTCACATACAGTGCCTAGTACTGTGATTAAAGCTTAAGGAACTCAAGAACCACTGTAAGCTTCTAACATGAACATGGCTACCAACCCCTCTTTTAATTCCTTTAAGCCATGTAGCCTTAAAAAAAAAAGAGGTGTTAGATAGGATGCAGTATCATTAATCCTATCATCCCTGTCACCCACTGACTGAAAAAATACTTCAGTATTAGCCAGCTCTTTACAAATATGAGTGACATCTCACACAATTATCAGTTGGCAAGTATCCAGGTAGTAGTTGAGGACAAAGCAAGTTCCTTCTTGTGCCTGTCTGGCTTCTGAACAGATTAAAGCCTAAGTCTGTTAGGTGCACACCAAGACAGGCCTATTATGTCCTAAAGAATGAAAAGAGAGAAAGCACAGAGGGATCTTTGAGGCTTTCGCCTATCTCCTGAAATCCCATGGAGTGAATTTGTGAAAGAGAAATAAAGGCTTAATCACATAATCTTGTCAACACACCTCACATCTCAGAGAAAAAACAAGTTCTCCTGGCAGGAAGAGGAGGAACTCAAATACTCTTGACTTATTCATTCTTTCTTTAATGCTACCAAAAAAGTAAATTTTGAGAGTTATGGCTAGGGTTCCTGTGATGCACAACGCAGTTCAGATTTCTGACCAGAGAGATCCCATGTCTTGTCCAAACTTCACGCCACCGGTTGGCTTAGTGGTGTCTCCCTGGACCTTACAACCTGGGGCAGATTTCAGCTAGCGAGACAAAGCAGGGCTGGCTCAAGATCCCATAAGTCATTAAAGCACCAATTATGACAAGAGATTAATTTCCAGCGCTTAACAGTGCTACTCTTACAGAACTGAACCTAACACTGCAAGTTCCAGAACCTTCACCAAATTCCACCAGCAATTCATAAAACAACATAAGGCAAGTAATTTCTTCCTCCCTTTCTCCTGTTGGCTGGGAGATGGGAATAATACCTTTATCTCATTACATGACTGGAAGAAACAAGAATGCACTGAGGGCAAACATGCAGATACTGTTTTGGCAGTATCTCTACTAGCTCCTTAAAATACACATACATACTTTAAGTCAGGTTCCTGCTTCATCTTCTTTAGTTAGTATGTATATGCTGACTGGATACACAGGGGAAAAATAAATCAGCTGAAGTTATATTTATAGTCTGGTGTCTCATCCTAGCACAAGCACAGTCTGTGCCCACTTTGATGCCTTCCATCCTGACCCATCGCCTTCAGCTCTTATCCTGACCATCTGCTGCAGCTGCACAAACAGTGCTTCAAGATGTGCTAATATCAGGGATAACTCATAAACCGGTTACACAGTAACCTATATCTCACGTTCTGTGACTAGACAGAAGGAAACAAATTTATACTGTCATCTTAGTCAAATACTCACCTCAGCCATCTAAAACCCAAGCTGACTTCTAATCACCACTCCCTGGTGGAGTTAAAACTGGAAATACCCGAACAGTTGCAAAGCTCAAATGGGATGTGGTGAGGGAACAGTTCCTGATGTTCATGCAACAGCTTGATGCTTTAAAGAACTGCTTTTTTCCCAGATTAATAGTTCAAGTAGTCTCACTTTACCAGGTATTTCCCTGTATACATCTTCAATAAATAACAGCCTTCTAACATTGTAACATGGGCTATTAATTAATTACCAGTGCAGAAATGCACAAGGGGAGTGGAAATAAATCAGATTTTAAGCAGGGAACCTTTACTGAAGTGAACAGTGACAGAATGTCCTACACTGAGTACAAGAAAATGCCTGTCTAAATATAATGCAAACTAAAACCATTTCAAAACATGCTGGTGAGAAAGGTTTACAGTGCATGATCAAAATACAGGGTGAATGAAAACAAAGATTGTGCTTATCCTTAACTCATTATTTTTGTCTTCCAAGAGACATAGATGGAAAGTCAAAGACTCAAAGAGGAAGTCAGTCTTCTTTCCCATTCTCCCACCCATGCACATGAAGAGAAAGGTTTAGTTTTCTTACTGAGAATACCAGGCCTGGTAAGCACCAAAGAATACAACAACCTTCAGTGCCAGCCTTGCCACTTAAAAGGACCCAGAAAACTTCTGCTGTTCACATTGAAAGATAGAGCACATGTTCCTTTGAGAAGCAGGGAACCAATGGGACTACAAACAGATTACTTAGTAAATTTTTGTTGCAGTTTCATTTCTGTATCTAAAGATGTATCTCTTTATCCAGAAGGAAAGGGGTTGACTTACAACTCCAGAACACTGCTTTACAACCAGTGCATTTGAGCCCTTCAACTATTGAAGCAAACCTAATGTGACAAAGCCCTATTTGTCACTTCTGAGGACAACTTTCCTAGCCCAACCTGCCTGTATCTCTTCATTACACTGAAGACATCTGGTTGTTCATCAAGGTTAAAGATTTGGTTAAAGATTGCCAAGACAACATCAGATTTATAACTTCAAAATATAGTAAATAAAGCTCATGCATGAAGACTCATGCCTTCATTCCAAAGTTACAATCCCAATTCCTCATAATTGTGCTAATGCTACACTTGATATAAAACCAAAGCAAGATCATGTTTGCCTCACTCCTGTAATCTGCTATTACAGACTAGGATAACCATCACTCCCCACCTCCTCCTTCCCTCCCCCATGCAGAGATTTCCTGAGCTTTGCCAGTTTGCATTCATCACCCCTAACCTGGATCTTTGCTTTTTTTCCTTGCCCCCAGCCACCGCCCCCTCCCTCCCCC